CCAAAAATAATTTAGACACATAACATTTTGAAACGCTGTGGCTAAAATAGTAAAAAAATTGCGACAGTACGTCTGCCATAAATTATCTATAATTTAGGCACCCATGTATACTCCTGCATTGAATGTTTATACTTCCTAAATAGTTTCGGAGTTTAGTATAGTTTCGGGTTTTTTACATAGTTTCAGGTTTTTTATATAGTTTCAGAGTTTTGGAAATTAGTTTTGGTTATTTAAAACTAGTTTTAGTTTCGGTTTTTGGGGCAAAAGAGTTTCGGGCAGCATCATTAGATGTCAGTACTTGCTCATGTCCTATTGGAATGTCTGGTGCCCCTTGCAAGCACCAAGGGGCAGTCTCTGTAAAATTTCATCTTTTGACGATTAACTTCTTTCCGTCTTTGATACCAGATGATTGCATGGCCTATGCATATATAGCACTTGGTGAGTACTTTCATAATTTCTGAATTTAGTAAAGTCTTGTATTATCAAGTTTTATATAAACCTTAATTATTTTTTTAGGTTATGTATCAGAAAATAAGTCTTTTTATGCGTTGTTACATGCGCAACCTGTATCACAAAGTCGAGAAACTTTACATATAGAAATGAAAATATCCAGCAATTCTTTGATTATAGAGTGAGTCAAAAAATTATTATTGAAGCAAAAATTTGCAATTTTTTAAACTTAAATTATATGTACATTTATTTATTTATTTATTTATTTTAGAGGATCTGAAGAACTAAGTGAAAGCGAAAGAAATAAAGAAACTGAAAAATTCGATAGTTTAGAGTTCGTTTCATTTTTAGAAGTTGTTAACTCTGATTATCAAGATGGTGGATCTACTTTGCAAGCCACATTAAATAAATTTAAAGATCGTTATATCGCGGCAAGAACAAAATCTATCTTCTGATTGTCCTCCTTTCTCTATGATATTAATCATGATTTAGATCTATTGGTTCATGTCAAAAGTGGCACACGCATAAGGGTTCAAGTAGAATCTATCAGAAGGCGGAAAACAGAAGGAAGTGGTATTAAGCGAAGGTTACCTGCCTCTAAAAATAAAGGCAAAAAAAATTTAGATCCTCAAGCTATTTCCATCCAAAAAAAAAGAAAACAGGAAAAAAAGAGCATAATTTGAGCAAGAATATATCGAATAACCAGCCTAATTAAAGTATAAAAGCTATTGTTATTGAGGATTTTTTTTTATATAATTATGTATTAATGTGATTATTATATATTGGCACTAATTAATTAAATTGAAGCAAATAAATTTGATAAATTTGGTGCTACTGCTTCATATATATTATTTTATATTATGTACTCAACTCTAAGTATACAGTCATACTAGTAATTTGATATTGTGGCTTAACCTGTTACAGATTACAGACGTGCATCATGTTCCATATATGACGCAATTGTGAAGCGCTTTCTTAACAAATAATATAGTATTTTTTTATAATTTTTTGCATGCTATATCTGTATTCACAATCATTAATCAGGCAATAATTAGGAGATTATAACATTGGCATAATCTACAAATTTAAAATGTTGCAAACCACAATAGATTACAAATCTACATACTATTGAAATTATAGATCATCTGCTGTTTATATTATAAATCTATCCTCTACTAAATCGTAAACCTTCTATTAAAGTTATGAATCTATTCACTATTAAATTGTTAAAATTGAATTTCCAGTGAAAATAGTTTACTAATTATTTGATATAAAGTTATGCTATAATTTTTTGATAAAAAATCTGCCATAGTCAACTCTGCTTATACTGAATCCTCTGTAAAAATTTTCAAAAGCTCAGTTTAAAAGTTTTCTATGTCTATAAACCGACTTACTAATAAAATTTTAAATGTTTTAAAGCTTCATGTTTTACTCTACAAAGTTTATTAAGTATTCGGTTAATCATCTTTAGTTAACTGTATTAACTAAGAATTGTTTTGAAAGTGAGGCTGAACCAAGGTTAGAATTAAAATATTAATGAACTGATTTGTTTGTTATCAGAAATCAGAGCAAATTAAACATTAGGGATGCTAATAGTCCTGCCTGGTCCAAATTGATCACTTTAGTCCACTTTTAATAGTCCAAAGTTTTAAAAATTAAAACTAAAAGCAGATTTTTTTTTCTGTCTTAAACCGGATTTAAGACTAACTGTGGTTTATCAATTTAGAATAGACTACATACCATCACCTATTAAAAAATAGAATTGTTGCACAGAATTAAACATTGCATATTCGTGCACATAATAAATGAATTTTTCACAATCAATGTATTCTATGACGAAATGATATTTTTGTCACTCACCTATCTACAGGTTTCCAAATGTAACTTACTACTGTTACTATGACGGTTAAATCATGGGATAATGCCTTGCTGTCATGTGTCTATCAGCTTTTGTCTAGGATCAGGAAGAGTCTGTAAATGCTAGGAGGATAAAGAGAGAACATAAGTATTTTAAATCGTTTAGGTTTTCTAAGATGGAGGACGCTCAATCCTCTAAACAATATAAATGCAAAAACTGTATCCTCCTGAAGAGGTCAAGCTACAGACTGTTTTCATAATAATAAAAATAATAATACATATGACCTATCAGGTCATGCTGCACACAGAAATTTTGTTCGAATTAATCTATCATTGAAATATCTTTTCCAATTATTCTAAACTAGACATGGATTGTGTATTAACTAAGAAAATTTGGGTTACAAGTTTCTCCCAAATGCATTTGATCTGTTAAATCAAGCTGCAACTAGAGTAATAATACTGATTCAACAGTGCTATGAACAACTGCTGCTCGTTAGAGAGGGTGGGAAAGAGTCAAATAAGCTAGACTTTTTAAGTCGAACACAGCAAAGCATAAATCTGAGAAAACAACAAACAATTGTAAAGCTATAAATAGCTTAGTAATGATTGATATCTAACTTTAGTATAATACTCAACAATGGTCAAGTTGACCTGGATAAAAGGTGTCAATCCCTAGATGATTGTATATTTGTGACAAAAGGCCTACTCGTGACTTTGTCTCGAGTAGCCAGAATTTTGTCATTCACCTATCTACAGGTTTCCGAATGTAACTTACTACTGTTACTATGATGGTTAAATCATGGGATATTTAGAGTATCGAATGCAACAAGTAAGATTTTTCATGTGGATTCGAAAGCTTTAATATACTAAATCTTAATACAGTTCTATTATTACTATGCTTGGTCTTTTCATACTAAGTTACTCTATTAGTTGTTGTTTCTATTAAAAACCCATCAGTTCAGAAGCCTGGATCTGTGTGGTTGCAACGGATCTTAAGTATAGTAACACTGCTTTTGAATTTTAGCCACCTATTGCTTTTATTTGCATCAAGCTTATGCCTTCTTTTATGGCAGCTGTAGCACCTCTAATTTGTAAACTATGTGAAGTAAAATGTCTATTAAGACCAGCATTCTTAGTCATTTGTTTGACAACTGCAGAAATAGCAGCCACAGTCATTTGTCCTTTAGTATTTGACAAGAATAAGAGCTCTTCTTTACCTGTTTTAGGTCTAACTTCCAGATATTTGTCTAATAGTTTAACCAAACAGAATCTACTATTTATTCTTTTAATAGGAACAAACTTTCCATTTGCAAAGAGATCATTTTTAGATTTCCTGATTTTTATCTATAACAATCCATCCTTTTTTTCAATATCCTTTAATCTTAAAAAGCAAAGCTTTCCTGGCCTTCTCATTGTTCGAAACCCAATTGCAATTAATGCAAGATCCCATTGCAAAATAATTGGATCTGCCTCCTTAGAGGGTGCATTATAATATAATTTTAATGCATTGAGAGAAAAGGGGTTCCGAGGCCAGAGTGCATCTTTGTCCTAAGCTTTAAGAAGTTTTAAACTACGAACTGTTGCTTTAATTCTCCAATTATTAGTTATGTCTATTTTTCCTAAATATTTAAATTCTTTTAATAAAGCATTCAAACAGATTTGTAATTTTGCAACTTGTCCTGTCATATCTAGCCAACCTATAAAGGTTATTAGAATATCTATATCTACTTGATCATTAGACACTTTTGCCCAGTGACAAAATTCATTAAACAGATTATAAGCTTTGTTTAGCTGAATTCTTTGTGCTTGGCCTACTGCATTTTGTGCAATCCTTTCAGCATGCTCTAAAGACTTTGAGACCAATCGATTTTTGCTGCTAGCAACTTCCATTTTGGGTTTTTGCAAGGTTCTCTTTGTCCTGTTGGGCCAGGTAAGATTATCTCAGCTGCTGGTGGAAGATTTAACACAGTTTTTGAAGCTAGAAGAAAAAGAGGCCACTATAGAGTTATCTCCCAAGCTGGTAATATCAGAATTATTGTTGCTCTGCATTTCCAACTGTGTACTAAAACCTGTTGTATTATACCAAAAGGTTGGCATACATAATTTATCTCTCCTTTCCAATTTTGAGTAAAAGTATCTACTGCTTCTGCTTCAGGGCAAAAATAAAAACTGTTAAAACGGCTCTTTTTGGAGTTTAAATGGTCTGCAAATCTGTCTATTGTCATGTTTTCAAAATGATTCTCTAGTAAAATAAAAATATCGTCTCTTAATATTTAATCATTTGTGTCTATATTTTGAATTAAATAATCTGCTGGGTTTTCTGCACTTGGGATCCAATGAATTTTGTATATCCATATATCATTTTAAGCACAAAACTCTCAAAGACTTTGAGCTATCTCCTTTTGACAATAATAACTTCCTTCTTGAACTACTGTTTTTTTTTTGCAACTCTGTTGTCCACAAAAAGCATAATTCAAGAGTTTTTTATTTGGTTTATAAAGAACTGGAGGACTCTTAAAATTGCTATGCTTTCTAACTTTGCAATCTGTACTGATAAAAAAGGGCTGGCCCACTTTCCATCAGCACTGTTCTTTAAATATGTGCCACACCATCCCGTTACTGATGCATCTACAAAGATTAGTTTTATTTGTGAAGGCTTCCATGCTAGTTTCCCATTCCAATGCTCTAGGTTTATATACAACCAGTTTATATCTTTTTTTGCTTGAGTTGTTAAAGGTATAACTTCGTCTCAGTCCCAAAGTTTCTGATTTTGTATATTTATTAAGTGATAAAACTCTAGACATTTTATTTGAGCTAGAAAAAATGCTCGAGACAAGCTTTAAATTTTTCTCGCTATTGAAGCTAGTTTCCTTATACTTATTTCTTTTAAGCTTTTTAATACTGCCAACTCCTCCTTTACCATTTCTAATTTTTCCTTCGTAATTCTTACTTGTGCTAAAATTGTATCTACTTCTAGACCAAAATACTTTACAATTTGAGCAGATTCCCATTGTCCTTTTTCTGAAGCCCGTATCCAGCCATAGCCATTCAGATTCCTTGCAATAGTAGTGTTTCTGATCTCTAATAATATTTCCTTGTTTAGGTAAGCTACCCATACATCGTCCAGATGATTGCTACAAAAAATTCTTTTTGCTTTCCAAGACCCAATTAAAGATTTCATAATTTTTGAAAAGATTCATACTGCTTGTAAAAGCCCAAAAGGAAGAACCATATAATGATACCAAGTTTCCTCTATTCTGAATCCTAGAAATCTCTGAGCCCATTCGTCTATTTTCACATGATAATAACCTTCTCTTAAATCGAAAGTTATGATCCACCAACCTTGACTAATTGTTTTGAGAAATCTACCTAAACCTTTGAATTTCACTGTCTTTTTTGGTAACCTTTTGTTTAGCCGTCTTAAGTCTACAACTAATCTGAATTTTTTAAACCTTTTTTCAGAATTAGAAAGATTGGACTCACTTCTAGCAAAAATTCTGGTCTTTCTTTTTCCTGAGAGATTTGACGTATTGCTTCTGTTCTGCAAAGTCGATTCAATTCTATCATTAACTAATTCTTTTTCTCCTCTGAAAAACTGATCTGTCTTGGTATTTTCTCTAAAAACAAAGATCTTACTCCCTTGAGAAATAATGGTATTCCCTCTTCTAACCATTTTATTACTAATGCTGCTGGCTTTATAATGTGTTTCCAATAATTCAATGCTTCCTTTGAATGAATTTGACCTGCTACATTCAGCTCCTCCCCAAATAACTTACCTTTTTCTGAATCTAAGCTGGTCTGAGCGTAGTCAACTTTCAGATTTAGGTTCTGATCTTTGAAAGGACAATCTAGCTTTTTTATAAAGGCAATTTGTAGCAATATATCCTTTTTCTTCACAAATATAACAAACAATATTACTAAATTTTCCTGGCTTTTTTCTTGCAAGATTATTTGATACAGATTGATGATGCATATTTGTTCAATTCTGAAGAGGAGAATGGTGATAAGGCACTGATAATTGTCCTCCAAATCTCCAAATGACTGTTGGGGTAATTGACTACCAATTTGATATGAATACAAGTTCAGTTAGTATAAAGTAGAGAAATTTGGATCAATAAATAGTCTATTAATTGGCTGCATTAACTGATTATATTAATTCGCTGTAGATTGGACAGCTGTTGGATATTGAACTGAAACTAGAAACACAGATGAATAATTTGTTTTTCATTTTTTACTCATTATTGATTGCCTTGTGATAACAAGTTTTTCTTTAAGTATTGCTTCCATTGGATTGTTGCTTTCTGTATCATTCAAAGCAGAAGCAACATCCCAGCTTTCTTTATTTGCAACCCGAAGAGTATAAGCTCTAGTATAAGCTAAGTCACAGGCTTTCTGTATTGGCTCTAAAGATTTTGATTTAATAGCTTCATCCAGTTCTTTTCCAATCTTGTGCCAAATATCATATTTAAACTGATTATGTTGCCTATTTATCTTAACTTCTAGCCAATACCTACCTTCATCATGATTACTTCCTAAATAAAATGTTTGTTTCAATTTATTTATTGCCTTGGCTAAAGTAGGCTGTAACAGTTTTTCAAGTGATCTTTTTAAATTCAAATATCTACTTTCTTCCAATAGTCTATCCTTACTCTGGTTCATCATAGTACTTTTTGGTATCTCATATCTAAAATTTGTTGTATTGTCATTTACATACAACTTATACTGATCTTCATTTAAACTTGTAAACTACTTTCTGTTGTCTTGCAAACTTTCTTCATAATTAATTTCTTCTTCACTAATTCACTCAAAATTATTTCTGTCAGCTAATTTTCCCTTCAATTTACTGGCTGTCCTTGATGTTAGAATGTTAACAAGGTCCTTCTTTGAACCCAAACTAGACAATCCTTCAGCTACACAAAGAACCTTTAACATATTCACAGTTAGTTTGTCCAAGCTACTCAAAAACCCTGTATTTTGTTGAGCTACCTCACTTTGTGTGTCAAGAAGAGACGTAGTTTCTCTATTTTCTATAGGTTCTTCGTAAATACTCATGATTTATTGTATGTTGAGACACTTTAATTTATTTAACAGAGTTAGAAGTATAATTTAATACGGTAAAATGCAAAAGTCTATTTCAAATAATCCATGGTGTCCTGCAATTGGACTAACATTGCTTGTGCTCTGGAGACCTTTTCCATCAGCCTATTATCATTAATGGGGCTATTAGTTTGGTTCTGCATTGGAAGGTTGTTTCCTCTTTCATTTTATAAGATTAGCATTTGGGTATTCACAGGCAATGTGTTCTAGTTGATGACAGAAATAGCACATAAGGGGTTGATTAGTCCTTTTAGGTTAGTTTCTATTTGCAGAAGGGCAGGTTCAACTATGATTATTGCTATTGTTATTGTTATTCTTCATCATAGTCACTACCTCCTGTAGCATAGCTATTATTTGATCCACAGAGTTCATTTAAGCTTGAGTTCGGGTGGATATCATAGACTAGACGGTGCTGTACGTTGGCTGTGGTGGTGGTATCATAGGTTGGGGGGCTACTACTTGGGTCGTTGGGTACATCAAGAGATTATACAAAGCAGGTGATCCATATGCTGCTAATCATTAAGAAAAAGTCATCTCACATATTTGTGCTCTTTCGATTGCTTCTTGAAGGTTGTTCGGCATAAACGGTCTTACTGCTAATAACAAGTCAGAACACAATTTTTGAATGAATATTTGAGCTTTTGTTATCTCAGGATATTGGTTTCTATCTCGACATACTAGATTAAACATTATCAACATATCCTTGGTATACTGGTCTACCGATTCTTCTATACATTATCATTAGGATAGTAATTTATTATTCCACTGGTTAATTAGAGCCAGAGTACAAAAAGCCTGCTTAAACTGGTGCACAAAACTTTGACATGGGGTTTCTTCATTTTTCTAGTATCATACTCCATTGTTTCTATACATTTGATTTTTTTATCATAATGTTACAAATCGAATGTATGACTATCAAGAATGCCTGTATAATCCTATTATTATACTGATATACATATTGGAATAATATAGAAAGGATAATATCGGTAAAATAACAGATATCAGTATTAGAGCAATATAAAGGATAGATATTGGATATAAAATAATATACTTTTTGTTTACTAATATTATTCTGATATATATATCAGGATATTATAGAAGAGATAATAAT